TAAGAATTTTGAGTTTCTAAAGAAAGAAATTAAAGAAGATACCAGAAAATGGAAAGATCTCCCATGCTCTTGGATAGGTAAGATCAACATAATAAAAATGGCAATCTTGCCAAAAGCAATCTACAGATTCAATGCAATCCCCATCATAATCCCAACGCAATTCTTCACAGACCTTGAAAGAACAATTCTCAACTTTATATGGAGAAACAAAAGACCCAGGATAGCCAAAACATCCCTATACAACAGAGTCCTGAATGTGAGGGTTATAGATGTGTATCACAACCAGCTACTCATCACTTTTGATTAGGGCCCGGACTATAAAAAATATGTTAATTTATAAAAACCAAAAAATAATTTGTCCAATAAAGACAATGGTGCTTTTTGTGGAAGAGACAATAACTCAAAAGATCTCAGCTTTGTCATTTAGTAGGTTAACTAAGCTTGTATTAACTCAGCAATCCGGTTGGCTACAGATTAGTTTCTCACATTTCTTTTGAATGACTTTTGTCATCCTTCTTGTTTTTAAATTAATTGCTAAATAAAATGTACCCTGTTCACTATCTATGCACATGAAAATTAGGTTTTTATTATTTTGAGAATTTATGCTTTCACAAGAAATATAAGAAAGATCCACAGAAATGTTGGTTAGGCAAGAGAAACAATAATTCACTTAGTTTCTAGGAACAAATCCTAGAATTCTCATATCTGTTCTTATTTCATTATCAGTTGGACTGCTGTAGCTTGGATCTAGAATGTCTATAAAGACACATGTGTTAAAGGCTGGTTCCAATAAGAACAACCCAGAAAAATTACCCATTAATGAATTAAAATACCACCCACTCAATTCATCAGTCCTACAATTCCATCACACATCTCTGTTTGATAAAAACTATGGCTCATCTTTAGGACTATGTTTAATCGTAATAAAGACTTTTAGGAGTACTAAAAGTATTCCTGATATGTATTGCATGCATCTGATATGTAATAGACTTTTCATATAGAAGGCATATTGTTAAAACATTAACTGGGCCAGTAAGGTGGCCTAACTGGTAAAGGCACCTAGAACATAAGGACCCTGCTATCAAGCCTCATGACTTGAGTTTGATCTCTGAGACCTACATGGTAGAATAAGAGAACCAACTCCTGCAAGTTGTTCTCTGAGATCAGCACACACATATGCAATAAATAAAATGTAAAAAAGAACTGATAAAAATACTAATTATGGCTAACAAATCCAATATTCATGAAATGGAGCATTTATAGTTTTTTTTGTTTGTTTGTTTTTCCCCAAGACAGGGTTCCTCTGTGGCTTTGGAGGCTGTCCTGGAACTAGTTCTTGTAGACCAGGCTGGTCTCGAACTCACAGAGATCTACCTGCCTCTGCCTCCCGAGTGCTGGGATTAAAGGCATGTGCCACCAACGCCCGGCGCATTTATAGTTTTGTGTGCTCATGGATTTATGAATCATGAGACACATCACATAGCCTATATAAATATATATATATAAACATATATATAAAATAAGGCATGTGCCACCAACGCCCGGCGCATTTATAGTTTTGTGTGCTCATGTATTTATGAATCATGAGACACATCACATAGCCTATATAAATATATATATAAATATATATATAAAATATATATATATGTTATAATTTCATCATTACTATTATGATTATTTGAGATTTGACACAGAGTCTCACTCTATAGCCCTGGCTTACAGAGATCTGGGATTAATGGTGTGCTCTACCACATCTGGGTCATCTCATTATTTTCACATTAGGAAATAGCGCAGGTTACATCCTCCTATAGGGACAAACATTCTGAGGAGAGACACGGTTTTTACAAATCTACTTCCAGCTATCTCTTACATAAACAGCAATTAGAGTGTGAATCTGGAGTCTGTAAAGATAAGTCCATCTTTACATAATTCTTCACTGTTTTTTCATGAAACATGATCATCCAGCCCTTAGAATGAGCATTTGCTGTTTATCCTAGTAAGGTGGTTATTTTCAAAATGAAAGCCTTTGATGTCTATATCTGGTTGAGTAGAATGTAGGCTTCATGAGTTTTCCCAAGTCATAAGACAAGCTAGAAAATATAAGTTATTTTCTTTACCTTAAGAATGTAGTCTTGACCTTTCATCAAACTCTTTACCTCTTTTAAATCGTCAAAGGGGAAATTATAATCACTCTAACTTGTTATTTAAACATTGCCAAATCTCCCCTCTGCATGCCTCATTGATTCTTCTCCCAGCTATCCCCTCCCTTGTGCTTATTTTTCTATCCTTTCCCCCATCCTTCTTCCTGCCTCTTTATATACACATTGGCTTCAATGTATTGAATCTCTGAAATACATCACCCATTATACTCCTTGGTAACAATCTCCTGTAGCATAAATAGTATCTTAGTGTAAAATATGAATTTTCCAACTTCCTCAAGAAAAAAGGTGACCCAAAATTATACCATACATAATATATGCTTTATGGTTTACTATTTCCTTAATTAGCCTGTCTTCTTCCAGAACCTCCATCCTCATTATTTAGACTAAGTCAGAAGTTGCTCTTACATGCTTCAGGAACAAGAAATTACTCTAGTTGGCACTATTATAATGTATGGTAATCCCCTATTTCTAATACTGTTCTCTTTGGGCTGTCAGTATATTTCTTATACTCCATTTGGATTATTCATCATTATATTCCATGTGCCTTGTACCCAGTACATACTTAACACATATTTGTTGACCAGCAAGAATTCAGAAATAAATATATTTCTGAGTCTGCTTCATGAAGACTGTGAGATATTAAAAATAGCCAGGAAAATTCCATGTGCATTGCAAACACACTATCAAAGACTATGAAGTGCTTGGATAAAATAAATTAAACAATAAAGGTTAAGTTTACAAGTTTATCATCAGACTTTCCAGTAAATGCTGACAACAGTGGTCTGACCCACTGTGCCACCAGAAAATGTGAGCCCTGCTACTAAACTAGGAGGGGCAGTGTGTGCTCTTATATGCCTTCACCTTTCAGCTTTATCTCCAAGAGAAGCACATGAACCTGAACGGAGGAGGGTTCCCACACAAGTTCACAGAACCAAAGGATTATGAGTCCTACCTTTAGGAACCATTTGCCGGCATTCAGAGTTGACAGGAAAGTCCAATTGAAGGTGGCAGTGTGATTAAAAGCAGATGATGGTAGAACTTCTCTGATATTGGTTGTTCTAATCAAGTCATAGTCATGCATGAGGAAAGGCACCTCATCAAAACTGCAAACAGAAGGAGGGAAAAGGGGAAGGGTACAAAGGATAAACCTAGCCATCATAGCATAAATGATTTCCCCAAACCCTTCAGGGTTGCAAGCTTTCAAGGCCTTGTCATACTCTCTCAAATCTCAGCAAAGGACTAAATGCCAATCATTTATACAGATGTCAGCATTTTCTGGCCCAGAATGAATCTTTCAAATATGCATTTTTATTGGTGGTGCTGAAAGAGTAGCTTCCTTATTCAGAAGATCTCCCAATACCAGGAAATTAGAAGGTACAGTAATGGCCTAAGAATAAGATGAATGGGAGTGTGTATAAGACAGGGTATCTAGGGCCATTAAATATGCTTCCACACAGGCGTCCTGTGTTTTTCTGAACTTTTTCCAGGATGGCACCAACTTCTCTAGACACTCTATGATGGATATTATCATAAAACAAATTCCTGATTCCTCCTGGTTGCTTTGTAGAAGCCCCAGCTTTATGACTGACTCTCTCTTCCTTTCTCATTAAAATAACCATCAAGAGAAAATCTATAATGGTCATGAGGTATAAGGGCTATTTAACTTGTCATAACTATAGAACTGGACAAAATAAAGGGAGTAACTGTTCAGTCAAAGGACATGTGGGATTACAGTATTACAACTCTGAGAAAATGAAAGCACATTAATTCAGATATACCATTACACAGGCTTCCTTCATGTAAGTGAGTAGTACAGTTTTGTACAAGAAGGGAGAGCCCAAAGGGACCTAGCTATCTTGCTGCAATGAGGAGGAAGAGATCAGAATAGGTAAAGAAATTTTCAATTTATTGAACAGAGTCCAATGGAGGATGGAGCTATGCAAAACAAACCAAAACAGTTCCTGAGCAATGTATGCAGAGATCTCAAGTCTGTGACTGAGTGTCAGTCTATACACATGAAACTCTATGGAGCTTAGCAAGAACAACTTTTGAGCTGGTGACACAGCTCGGTGGTAAAGGCATTTTACTGCCCAGCCTGACAACCTGAATTCAATCCCCACAATCCACTTGGTGGAAGGAGAAAACCGATTCCCGCTAGCTTTCCTCTGACCTCCACACATGTGCTGTGGCATGTGTGTGTCTATGTACATATATATATAAACATACAAATAAATAAATGTAATAAAAATTTTTAAACAAAAACTTTCAAGGAAAGAAAAATTATCAGAATCTTCCAAATTGCAGAACTCACATGAGGTGTGACTCAATCAATTCCATCCAGCAAGAGAGGAGAGACCTTAATAATTATATTGGTATTCTTTAGAGACTCCAGAAGGCCATACCTTAGAAATGAAGATGACTTAGAACTAGAACAATGTACATCCACTTAGGTGCCTCCATAAGAGAGCTTATGAAGGCTCCAAACGATCAAACTAGTTAGAAATAGTTCATCTACCTGCTAGAAAAAAGTCCAACATTCTTTAAAGGAATACAAAAAAAAAAACCATAGTCCCCATACCTGTAAAATTACAATGTCTAGCATATATTAAAAACTTACTAGAGATGTAAAGATGCAGGAAAATGGGAATATATGCCCGTGAGATCCTTAGACAGAGGAAAATAACCCAATGAAAGGTGAAAGAATTAGACAAAGTTGTTAAATAATATAGAATATTAACATGCAAAGGAAACTTGAATATAAAACATGCATGCAGAGCCAACTCTGGTGGCATAACAATCAGGAAGGTAAGTAGGTGGGAGTAGGGGATGTCAAGTTTAAGGCCAACCTTGCCTGCAGGCAATGGCATTTTTGTGTGTATATGTCTGTTTGTGTAGGATATAAGAAAGCAATGGAAATACTGGTGATGAAAGCTATAATAACTGAAAGGAAACTTCTGCTGGATAAAATTTACCACTGAGGCTGGGGGGGGTGTGTGACTAAGTTGGTAAAGTACTTGCTGTGCAAGCATGAGATCCTAAGTTAAGATCCCTAGCACCCACATAAAAACCCTGGCATAGCACACATGTGAAACTCTAGCACCAGGAAGTGGAGACCGGTAGATTTAGAAGGCTCCCTGGCTATCCAATCTAATCTAGATAATGAATTCCAGGTTCAGCAAGACATTCAGTATGAGGCAGAAGTGTAGAAAGTGATGGAGGAAGTCATGCCAATGTCAACTTCTGCTCTCCACACAAGTGAACACTTCTACTACTACCACATACAAATGTAGACCAGATCTTTCAAAGAGCAGTGAGTTTGAAGCTGTGACTATCAATACAATGAATCATAGAACCCAGAAGCTCTGATCCCCAAGCCAGGAGAATGCTTTATCTTTCAGCTCTAGTAAATGGGACTCAGAGCTAACTCTATATTAGTGTATTTTCTGGCTCTTGTAGTTTTTTGTTGCTGTTGTTTTATTTTTTTAAGACAGGGTCTTTCTGTGTAGCCCTGGCTGTCCTGGAACTTGCTCTGTAGACCTCTGAATGTTTTCATTATAAAGAAATAAATTTTTGTGATAGGTACGCTTAACTTGATTTAAATGGTATAGTGTGTATATATTTTATGCAAACATCACATGATTGCCTATATGTATGTACAATTAATGGTGTAATGTAAAAGGCGAAGTCTGAATGAGACTGGCTCTCAGCCCAGCTGTGGGGAAAACTGTAAATGAACTCATTTTCCCTTAATGTGGGCAAGAACTTGGGCTCAGAAGCAGACCTACTGCATTATTTGATACACCAGTAACAGGAATAGGGCATTGAAAGTGTGGCCTTGAAGATGTTATGAGAACCCCAGTTCCTCTTCTCTCTTCCCACCTGCCATGAGGCAGGCAGCTAAGCCTCCATATGCTCTCTGCCATGAAGGTCTGCCTCACTACAAGTGCAGGGGTAAGAGAGCTAAACAACTGTGTGCTGACACCACTCAAACCATGAGCAGGTGAAAGGTTCTTCCTACTAATTTGCTGTATGTATTTGTCACAGTGTTTGGAGGTCATAGGACAACTTTTGAGAATGAGTTCTTTCCCTCCACTGTAGCTTCTAGGAATCAAACTTGGGTTGTCAGGCTTACTCTTCCTTTACCTGATGAGCCATCTTGCCAGCTCACTGTTGAACTATTTGTGTTCCTTATATATTCTGGACATTAAACTCCTTGTTAGATGGATAATTTGCAAATATCTTCTGCCATTCTGTAGGTCATCTCTTTACTCCAATGATTGTTTCCCTTGCTGTGTGAAGGGTTTCTAGTTCTATATACAATTTGTTTTTACTTTTGTTTTCTATACTTCGGAGATCTTGTCCAAAACATTTTTTTTTCAATTCTGATGTCCTGAAACAACTTTCCCTAAGTTTTCTTCCATGGTTTCCAATCACATTAAGTTTTTTTTTTTAAGAGTAGAATGTGTTTTATTATCTGTAAACTGTGTGTCAACCCAGTTCTGCATAAACCATCATTCTTACATTCTATCTCTGGGCTTACCAGTTTTTGACACTTAGCAAACCGCAACATTTTACATCTGGTTCTCGCACTGAGTATAATATCCTCAAAGTCCATCACATTGTAGCATGTGTCAAATCCTCCTTTTTCATGGCTGAATGTTTCAGCATGTGAATGGATGATCTAAAATACTGTTTGGATGCATTCATTCATCTGGATCTCGTGCCATTTCTACCTTTGGGCAGTTGTGATTCATACCACTGTGGACATTCATCTGTGGTTTCTTTGTGGACATATTCTCATATCCTTTGTTTCCTACAGCAGTTGTAGAGCTCTCATCTTTTTTGGCCACTAGCATTCTTACTCCTCCCTGTATGTCTGCCAAGCACCTTTTAGTCACAGACATCTTGATGGACACATCTGATTCTGATGTGCAAAGAAAAGCAAAATCAGCCACAAGTCGTAGAAGCCAGGCACACACCTTCTTTAATCCTAGAAGCCAGAAACTAGGACTCAGGATTAAGAGGTAGATGGATCTCAGTGGGTCCAAGGTCAACCAGATCTACACAAGAATGAATCAGTCAAAAAGAGAATTATAGCTTACAGCTTTAATCCCAACATTAGGGAAGTATATAAGACAGAAACAAGGTCTCAGATAGGCATTCATTCTCCAGCTACACTGAGAAGAGGCAGCAGTTTAAGACTTGGTGAAGAACTCATTCCTGGATCAGCCCTTTCAGCCTGAGCTAAAGGTGAGAGCTAGTGGCAGGTTGCATTGTTTTTTTGAATCCTCAGGCAAGCTTTGATAAATCATAAACCATATCTCACCACAGCTGTTGTCTTACTATTTGAGTATTGAGATATTAATACATATATATTTAAAATTATTTCACCTTGCTGAATTGACTGACCTATAATTATATAATGACTTTCCTGTCTCTTCTTTACTGATTCTGATTTAAAAGTCAATAGTATCTGATCTGAGTATGGATACTTTGATTTCTTCTGGATTCTATTTGCATAGAATCTAATTCCATTCCTTTACTGATTTCAGTCTATGTGTGTCCTCAGAGGTAAAGTGAGTTCTTAATTTAAGCAACATGTACTTTTAGTACAGTTATTCTATGTCTTTGAACTGGACAATTAATCCACTTATGTTTATGACCATATTGGAGTGCTGTTTACTGATTTGTTTCTCCTAGTTTGTTTAGTTTGTTTTTTTTATGCACTCAAGGACTACCTGCCCAGGAACAGAACCATTCACAATGGGTTGGGCCCTCCTATATCAATCATTAGTTAAGAAAATGCCCTACAGACTTGTCTCCAGGCCAATCCTATGGAAACATTTTCTCAATTAAGATTCCATCTTCCCAGATATGTCTAGATTTGTATCAAGTTTACCAAAAAATCAACTGGCACACAGACACATACTGGCATTCCCTTTTTCTCTGCTTTGTGGCCCAGGATAAAGTAGCCAGCTCCACTGTGCTTCTCCTTGCCATCATTGTCTGAATCCCCCAGAACAGTGAGCCCAAAACCAAATCTTTCCTTCTCCAGTCTGTTTGGGCCAGGTACGGGTCTCACTGATGAGAAAAGTAACTAATG